CATAGAATAACATATTTTAAATGGTAAGTTTAAATTCAACTGTATTTACAACTACATTAAAAGTAAGTGGTCTAAAAACCTTTTAAAAATAATTTTATTTATTTATTTTTGACTATGCTGGGTCTTTGTTGCTGGGTTTTTGTGGCTTTTCTCTAGTTGCAGCAAGTGGGGGCTACTCTAGTTGGGATATGCAGAATTCTCATTGCAGTGGCTTCTCTTCTTGTGGAGAATGGGCTCTAGGGTGTGTGGGATACAGCAGTTGCATTTCCTGGGCTCTAGAGCACAGCTCAATAATTGTGGCACCTGGCCCCACAGCATATGGGATCTTCCCAGACCAGAGATTGCATTGGCAGGCAGATTCTTTACCGCTGAGCCACCGGGGAAGCCCCCTAAAAATCTTTTTAGAAGTTTAAACATTTTCAGTGTTCCTGCAGCACTCACCCCCACCCTGCCATGTTGCATTCAAACTCCACCTTGCGATGGCAGAGGGACTTGGATGAGAGTGAGCTTCCTGTCCATGTCTCAGGGGCAACAGGACTCTGCTTTATATCAATGTGGGATCCTGAACGTGATGGGTTTTTGCCCCTTTGCTAGCAGCAGAGGAGTTCTCCTAATTTCAGAACAGCCAACGAGGGCTTGTTTTCCACTTCTCCTGTTGCAAGCAAACTTTGCCTTGAAGCAGGTGAGGGAAACTCACAAGAGAGTTTTCTGTTTGTCTTCGCAGTGGCAGCCAATCACCACTGTGCACTAATGAGGGTTCAGAATGTGGACCGGCTACTCCAAACTACCTTCAAACTTTGCCAAAGCCCGCTCCCCTTTCCTGTGGAGGAGCGCACTCTCAGGTCTCCTATCCTGCTGTCTATCTTTCTCACATGGACTCGGTGAATGCCCCTGGAAATGAGCTGCTGAGTATGTGTGGGCCCTCCAGTGTTGGGAACCCCAACACTGTCATGCTAGCCCACACTTGACATTTAAGAAGTTGTTAACATTTTAGTTGCTCTTGTTCATTTTGATGGTTGCCACCTCTTCCCCCACATTCTGCCAAAGGTAAAACATTTTTGTGTGTCCCTTATGTTCTCAGAGGGATTTCTCAATCTTTGGTATTCAGTTTATTTGGTTGTGTTGAGACCTCAGGTCTCTGATGGACTAAACAGAATAAGATTTTGTAGATTACATGGTCTTTTGTTGTTGTAAAGATGGGAGTGATATTCTCATGTGGTTTTCTACAGCCTAAGTGAAAGAGAAGTTCCAATTTTTTATTTTTAGTAATCATACTCGGTAATGGTAGTATTACTATCATCATTTTGACCATTGTGTGTATAACTGTGTACTGTGGGATAAAGGAAATGATTAATGATATTTTGATTCTCTCATTCACTGTGTCCTTGAGAACCAAGGTTTTTGTTATGGAAAAAAGGAGATACATACACAGTGTGGAAGGAAATAAGAAAAAAATCGTGCAACTCTGTTTGGATTTGAAATACTATTATAAATTTATAAGATATTTTATACTTAAGTATATGTTTATTTCCTAATTGTACCAAAAATGTCTAGAAATATGATTCTCTAGATTGTGATCTTCAAATACCATTTCCTACCACAAGAAACCAGGGCTTCCTAGAGAAATAGCTGATTCATATTTGGGGTAGAAGCTATGCAAAATGAGCCTAGACCATCTTATCCTACCAAATAGAAAAGATGCTATCAAAGAATAATGGGGTCATGTCAAATGGACCCTGCTGCCAATCTTAGGAGATTTCCACTTGCCAAAAATGGGACAACTTGAGTTTGAATAAAGGAAAAGAATGCAATGTACTTAAACCCTTAAATATATCTAAATTAACGACCTCACAATTATATATGTTTTAAAAATCAAATAAGTCTCTTTTAGAGGATCAGGGAACCAATTTATTATCTTGAAGACAAGTAAATAAACAATCAAGCATTTTTTCTTTTATATCTAAACTATGCAACTGGGTAACCAAATAATAGATGAGAGAAGTAACTCTTTATAAATTATTCCAAAGAAAAAGTGAAATGAGATGTGGAATTAGAATGTCACCATTTTTCAATCTCCAATGAATTTATGGGTCTAGGCAGTGAGCCTACATGGCTGTTGACATCACAAAAAGAGAGACAACCAGACATATGCTATCTAGTGAAATAACATGCCACTTCCTACAGTCTTGCCAAAATGACTGAGTTAAAGTTTTATCCATCTCTGAATCCAGCTTCTGATTTGTAGATAATGCAGAGGACAGAGGAACAAGTTGGACAGGACCACGGGTACAGTCAGCAAAATCCAGACGAGAGGGAAATTCCACAGGTCAAACCTCGAGGGATCTTCAACAAATAAATTATGCGCCAAAGGACAGGACAAAGGGAAAGCCAACAGATTCAAAGAAAGGTTAAAAACGTATCAAATTTTTGAGAGTGAGTGAGAATAAACTGTAGTGCTAAGAATGTATACTTGAGTAACCAAATCATAAAGAAACATAGGGAAGAGATTACTCTCAAAGTCAAGATAGTGGTTATTTTTGGAAAGAGGAAGGAGACACATGTGAAAGGCTTCTGAAATATCTGGAAATTTTCTATTTCTTGATCTGAGTGAGTGTTAGCCTTATAATTCACTAAGCCATGTGTTTGTTTTGTATGGTTTTCCATACCTGTGTTTTATTTTACAATTAAAGTTTTTTTTTAAAATAAACCTGTTTTACTTCAGAGCACCCTCTTACTCTCATCCCCCCAAAAGTGAATTGCATATCTCTATGTGTAAAAACAAAACACATTACAAATTTTTTAAAAGTATAAATAGACAGGAAGGATATGTTTAAGAATATGTTATAGATCAAGTTATATTTCCCTAAGTGCCTTTATTAGAACTATTTCACAAAATCCTTTCCTTCCTTAAAAAAATCCTTTCAGAAGAGTCTGTGCACTTTTTTTCTAGACTTGCCAAGCTAAATAGCTAAAAAGTATTTCCTTTTCAAAGTCCAAGGAACGTGCAATCCTCTATATAATAAAAAAAAAAAAGATGTGTTAAGGTTTCCAGTTCCCCACCCCTTCCTTTCATTTTAGAGGGGAAAAATATATGTGTATAAATATGCACACATGTATTTATAAAAGCAACATAAATATTATAATGTAAATGTAGAGGTGGGGTTCAAAAGAGAAACCTTCCCCATGAAAAATATAAATAATACTTTTTTCAGCAAGAGAGGATAAAACAGCTTCATCAAAAATTTAAATACATTAAAGAAGTTTTTGCCATCTGAACTGTAATTTTAAAGCTAAAATGTGAGCCCACTGTAGACGTTTTAACAACAACTGAATTTGCTGACTTCTGAAAGGGAACTCCGGGTCTTCCCAAGTCTTTTGAAGTTCCATTTTGCTTTGTCTTCAGATGCCTTGACATAATCAGCCCATTGATGTCTTCTGCTGTCTTGTGAAAGCAAGCATTTGCTCACAATTCCATATCAGGGCTGGAGACAAGGAGAGGTTCAGATCCCTTTGACACCAGGGCGCCTGGTCAGGAAGTTCTCAGATGTGCAGTCACGTGAACTTTTAGCTGAACTACTGCCCAGTGGGGCTCCCATCCTTTCAATCGCCATCGGCTCAGGTCTTCAAAGGCTGGGAGCGTCTGTAGCCAGTGACCTGCCTGGCTGGCCTGACACATCTCTTTCCCTTGGGGTGGTGGGGGTAGATGGGATTGAAATTACTTTCCCAACTTTATTCCTCAAATTTGAGCCAGAGCCCTAACCCGCCCGTGCACCCCAGATCAAACAACACCTCAGTTGCCCTCTAGTTACACTGGTCACTGAAGGAGTAGGCTTTAGAAATCTTGTTTCCCACACTTTGGGATTAGCACTGATTGTAACTGAGATTCTGCCACACACTTACCTGAGTGTGAACACTGCTCTTCTTTAATCACTGCGACAACCATCTAGGTAATTTAAGATAAAGGTACTGAGTGAATTCACGCAAGAACATGTATATAATTAGTGGAGAGTTTAACTCAGGGAGCAAGCTCTCACTGGCAAGGCCATTCCTTAAACCACCATGCTATGGTGCCTATGGCCAGGGGAATAAACACCATTGTAGACATAGTTACATGGAGTACTGCTGATGCTAGCTCCCTCCATGTGTCAGGCACTATACCAAGCTTCACAAACACTTCATTTAATTATTTATAGGAAGATCCCCTGAAGGAGGGCATGGCAACCCACTCCAGTATTCTTGCCTGGAGAATCCCCGTAGACAGCGGAGCCTGGCGGGCTACAGTCCATGGGGTCGCAAAGAGTCAGACATGCCTGAGCGACTAAGCACAGCATACAATATCATACATTATTACTAATACATTAATTACATTTCATACAGTTAACAATACGAATACTATTATGTAGTAGTAGTGTTTACTATTACTATTATATATACACATTTGTTGTTGTTATTTAGAAGCTAATTTGTGTCCGACTCTTTGCGACCCATGGACTGTAGCCCGCAAGGCTTCCCTGTCTGTGGGATTTCGCAGCAAGAGTACTGGAGTGGGTGGCCATTTCCTTCTCCAGGGGATTTTCCTGACCCAGGGATTGAACCCACGTCTCCTGCATTGGAAGGTGGATTCTTTATGCTGAGCCACCGGGGAAGCCCCATTATATATACATAGATGGTCTATTTTCTCAAGCAATTCAGAAAGCTCAGTAAAGAGGAGTAACATTCTTCAAAATGTTTCCGGGTCAGGCGCGGAACAATGCCGTAAAAGTCAAAACGCGCAGACGTTATTGGTCCCTCTTCCTCCCCGGGTTTCCGCAACACCTGACGCCTGCGCAATAAGTTGGGTGGCCGTATTGTGGCGGCCGCGTTAGTTACGGCGCCGCGCAGTCTGCGGGCGTTACCGGGCCGCGCGCCGCCGAGTAGTTACGTCTAGGTGCGGGTGGCCCTGTGGCCAGCGGCGCGGGCCTGCCTTGGTTCGCCGGCCCCAAGATCTGTGAGCGGCCAAGATGTCCATCTTCACCCCCACAAACCAGATCCGCCTGACCAATGTGGCGGTGGTACGGATGAAGCGAGCCGGGAAGCGCTTCGAAATTGCCTGCTACAAAAACAAGGTCGTGGGCTGGCGGAACGGCGTGGAAAAAGACCTTGATGAAGTGCTACAGACCCACTCAGTGTTTGTAAATGTCTCCAAAGGTCAGGTTGCAAAGAAGGAAGATCTCATCAGTGCGTTTGGAACAGATGACCAGACTGAAATCTGTAAGCAGATTTTGACTAAAGGAGAGGTTCAAGTGTCAGATAAGGAACGGCACACGCAGCTGGAGCAGATGTTTAGGGACATTGCAACTATTGTGGCCGACAAATGTGTGAACCCTGAAACAAAGAGACCATACACCGTTATCCTTATTGAGAGAGCCATGAAGGACATCCACTATTCAGTCAAACCCAACAAGAGCACGAAACAGCAGGCTTTGGAAGTGATAAAGCAGTTAAAAGAGAAAATGAAGATAGAACGCGCTCACATGAGACTTCGGTTCATCCTTCCAGTAAATGAAGAGAAGAAGCTGAAAGAAAAACTCAAGCCACTGATCAAGGTTATCGAAAGTGAAGACTACAGTCAACAGTTAGAAATTGTGTGTCTCATTGACCCCGGCTGCTTCAGAGAAATCGATGAGCTCATAAAAAAGGAGACAAAGGGCAAGGACTCCTTGGAAGTACTCAACTTGAAAGACGTGGAAGAAGGAGACGAGAAATTTGAGTGACCGTCACCCATCTCTTCAGCTAGCAAACACTGAAGCGTTTTCATTTCCCACAGTCCTGTTTTCTTTGTGTGATCAGCCAAATACTTGTTCAGATGAGTTGCTGTTTTGCATCTTTGTGGCAAACGTGTACACAAAAAGACGTTCCTCAGTAAGTATGATGATGTGGGATTCATTCAGTTTTAATTATAAAATGGAGTTTTAGGCAAAAGTGAAAATCCAAGATAAAAGTCCAGAGAAGTATTCAGTTGCTGCCTCATGCCTTTCTAGCTTTCCCAGGTGAAAGTTATTTGAGACAACTCTTTCGGATAAAAAGTTAAATTTTGTACATTGTAAGAAATTAGGAGGGTATATCTGTATGACCGAAAAGGAGGATTTGCCAAAAAAGAAAACAGAATGTCTTATTTCTACTTAGTGAAATGTGTGTATGGGGGTAACTGTATCATGACATAATATAAAACTTGGATGATGACTTCCGATTTTCTGAAAAATAGATATATGATGACTGCAGGACTTTAATATTCATCAAACATGCTGCCATAACTTAGATTATTCTTGGTAAAATATAAAGTCATTTATTTCTAATTCCTAAAGTTTATAATATATATTATTAGAGCTGAAATCTTATGTAAATCAATAAACCACTTTTTATTTTTGTTAAAAAAAATGTTTTTGGGTCAAGAATCAAAAAATATATATATATATATGCTGAGCTGGCTCACTTTTTCCCAAGGAGATCAATATTTTAGATACAAACCAGTGAAGTAGACTGATGAGGGTACAGCTGAAAATAAGTCTCAGGATGACAGACCACATACACCGCACAAAAGCATTGTTCTGAGCAAGACAGGCTGCCAACACTCTAGAAGGAGGACAGTTAGCATTTAGCTCTGATTGTCATTGTCAGAGCTGTTCATCTTGGCATGCATAAAGGCCAGGTGACCCTCTGATCACAATCCTCACTTTACCAGTCTTTCATCACTGATGAAAGATTCTGGTCCTTCTAAGATCAAGTTTATTTCTATCTCTATACTAGTATCCAAATCCCCATCTGATGTTTAAACAATACATTCCTGTGTAAAGTAGATACAAGTGACTGATAATACAAACACAGGTAGAGGTTACTGATCGGGTATTTGAACTGGGCACTGTGTTAAACACAAGCATTCTCTCTTTGGATCTCATGGCTCCAAATGGTAGCATTAGATCATCTTCAGGTCCTGTATCCATATTTACTGAATAGCAGAGGTGTCCTCAAGTTCAAATTAACCCACTTTCAGGCTTCATGCTGTTAAACCTTGCATTCAAAGTCGCCCTCATTCCTTTCCAAACTCTTGTTCACTTTCTCTCTCTTTAACCACAATCCATACTCTACTTAAAGGAAGTTACCAAAGAAGCTCCTTCCAGCATTAATTACTGGAAAAATAGCTGGCATGTCCACTTTTCTCCTCTGAACACACCTAGCATGCTGAGCATGGTCTTTAGACATGCTTTAGACAAAAAGTCACTAGACAGTGACTTTTTGAAGGTGAGGACCTTGTCTTCTTCATCTTTCTGACCCTAGTGCTTAGCACAGTGCTGGCATAAAGAAGGATCTCAATAAAAATTTGCAGTGAGCATAAATCATTGCCTAGATGGTTAGATGCATATACAAAGGGATGCCTCAGATAACCTCCCTCTCTTTCGCTGAGACGTCACTACTAAGCCCCATGTTGCTGATCACCAAAAAGTGGCTACAGCACTTAGCACAATGTCACTCGTATGGTTGGTGCCCAGCATGTTTTAGTGAATGAAAAAATAAACACATAATTCAGGCCTTAAAGCAACATAAATGACTTGGGAGATGTATTTAAACTCTACTTCCTCTTCCATTTCTCATATCTATGGCAAAAGAAACCAGCAAGCTGCTGGGAACAGGGGCTGCAGCCCACGAGGGCCTGAACTATGCTGTGCTGGCATCAGCCTGTAATGAAGAAGCTGTAGCCTTATGAAATTTTCCATCATGTCCCCCACAAGCTGCAGTGGATGGTTTTGTTCATTGCATCCAGAGTTGGGGTTCTGTCTGGTTTCAATGGTAATAATAGTTCTACTTCTGAGAAACTGGCTAGTTTGTATATTACATACTTGGTAAATTGTGAAATTGTCTTTATTTCTCCCTTTTTTTGGCCAATAAAAAATCTAAACAGAAAAAATAGCCAGTGGGAATCTGCTCTATGACCCAGGGAACTCAAATGGGGGCTCTGTAACAACCTAGAAGGGTGAGGTAGGGAGGGAGTTGGGAGGGAAGTTCAAGAGGGAGGTAACATGGGTATACCTATGACTGATTCATGTTGATGTATGGCAGAAACCAACACAATACCGTGAAGCAATTACCCTTCAATTACAAATAAATTTTAAAAATTGGAGCTAAATCTGTAGCTACTCATAGCAACAGAACGATCTTTTAATAACACATTTTTTCAATGTCAGTCTTGGCTGTTTTTCATTTCCTCACTACAAACCCCTTCCTTCCTTTTTCTTCTACTAATTTTGTACATTCTCATTTCTTTAGGAATGATGGTAAGCCATCCAGTGATTATAAAAGAAACTAAATGTAAAACAGCTCACTCTATTGTGTAACCACAGACTGAGCAAATGTATTCATCAAATATATTGTTATTCAAATACACAATTATTTTTACTTCCCCCTGGTACATTTAATGCATCCAGGACTAAAATCTTCTCTGGGGCTTCCCTGGTGGCTCAGTGATAAAGAATCCACCTGCCATTGCAGGAAACACAGGTTCGATCCCTGGTCCAGGAAGATTCCCACATGCAGCAGAGCAACTAAGCCCATGACCATGACTATTTGAGCCTGTGCCCTAGAGCCCAATAACTGCAGCTATTGAGCCCACAAGCTGCAACCACTGAAGCCCACATCCCCTCCCTAGAGCCTGTGCCCTGCAGAGAAGAAAGGACCTGCAGGCATGGGGATGGAGGAAAGGTACAAAAGATGAACTAACAGTGGAGTTTACCTGAGCAGCTAAGGCTGATGCTCGGATCTCAGTTGTACTCAAGAGGCTATTTGGTGGCCAGAAATAAGAGGAACATCGGAGGTTACATCACTGAATTTACAGCCTTCTGATAAAGATGGTGATGGATCTATTCTATTCTATTTTAATACTGAACTGAGGGGAGAAGTCACAACCAAATTTTAGAACCAACAAGTCAGGCCTTCAGCTCAGAATCAACCTTCTCACCACCCAATTTCCTGTCTTGAGAAATACAAGCCAAAGCTTTTCTGCTTCTCCTTGTGTTAAAAATCTAGCCATGTTTTCTGAAAAATAAGCTTAAATCATCACCATTTCTTTTACATTCTTATTATATTAACTTTTTCCTGAGAATAAAAGTAAGCAAATCTATTGTAACCAATAGGGCAACAAAATTATATTAATATAACATAAAATTGCTTTGATCTATCACCAAGAAATAACCATTGCAATAGCTTTTGATTATTTCCTTCTAATCTTATCTATTTTCATATTTGTGGGGTGGACATGTATAGCTTAATGTAATCTCAGTCATTTTTCCTTTTAATATTTTAATATGTCCCCAGGTCAACCCTGAATATTCATTGGAAGTACTGATGCTGAAGGTGAAGCACTAATACTTGGGCCACCTGATGTGAAAAACCAACTCATTGTAAAAGACCTTGATATTGGGAAAGACTGAAGGCAGGAGGGGAAGAGGGTGACAGCCTGAGATGGTTGGATGGCATCACTGAGTCGATGGACATGAGTCTGAGTAAACTCCAGGAGATAGTGCAGGACAGGGAAGCATGGCGTGCTGCAGTCCATGGGGTCACAAAGAACTGGACACGACATAGCAACTGAGCAACAACCATGCCAAGAAATGTCCTTCAAATTTTGATTTTTTAATGTTCACATTATATTACATTTATAGAACGAACTCTATTTTATCTTGCTATTGAATCTTTAGATAGCTTTCAAAAGATGAATATTCTATGTTTTCATTTAATTCCTCTAATTGAAAGGCACTCAAGTAATGGGATTTTGGTGTGAACATTAGTAAGAGAATCAAAAATCAGGTGGAAATCCAAAAAACCAGAGACCACAGTATGGTTAGGATTTAGAGTACTGAACTGGATTCAGGATATCTCTTGTGGCAGAAATCAAAGCTGGTTATCAATATTTATGGTTCTTCTCCTTTCAGAAACTCTGTGTAAATTGTACTTCTGTACTTTTCTACCTCTTGGGTTTAGACATGATCACGTGACTGTTAAAGTATGTCAAACACTATTCTTTTTTGTAGCTGAGTTGAAGGTTAGTGAAGATTTGGTGGGCATGGAAGGGGCAATGGACGCTGAGAGATATGTTCAGGGCCAAGGTCCATTTTGTAAGTAGGATGGACAAGACTTGGTGATTGATTGGATGTAGGAAGTGAGAGAAGGTTGACAAAAATGACTCCTGGGATCTTTGGGTAAAGAGGTCGTTTACCAAGAAGGGGGACTCTCATCGGGAAACAGCTCTGGGAGAGGAGAAGACCTTGGTCAGGTTTGTAAACTACTACAATGAAGTATTATTATTATTCATAGTTGATGACAAGTAGACAGACTCAGGAAAGTTATTTCACTTGCTCAAGATCACATATCTAGTAAGCAAAGGAGTCTGGTTTCACACCCAAGTTCATCTGCTTGACATCCCAAACTGTGCTGTTTTCCCTACCATTTTCACACAGTCTCTTAAGAGGAAAGAAGAGATTTCCTGGAGCACAACAAAAACAGTGACATGGGGAGGTCAGCCAGAGAAGTGACATGAGCATCCCCGGTGAGGGTTGAAGGCCACACCAGAATCACATGCAAACACCCAGATTGTGCAGCCAGGCCCTCAAGACCAGGACACTGAAAGTCAGTCACCAGACACAGTGATCCTGGCCAAAATGGCGTCCCTCAAAACATGACTGGGGACCAAAGACTCTTGATTTAGATCTGTGGTCTCCAAACA